TTAGAGACTAACAAATTTATTAAATTTGTTAGTCTCTAAGGTGCCACAAGTACTCCTGTTCTTCTTTTTGTAGAAAAATATGTATTTTTTCTAGATTTTGACCGAATTAACAGAAGCAAGGTTATTAAAGCTGTGTAGCAAACGATCATGTTCATTCATGCTTCAGTTCCTAAGCATCTCTGTATGCCTGATGTTCTGGATACATACAGTTGTTGCTTGTAAAAGGGACACTGTCATATCACTTTAGGTCCAGAATTTTAAGATAAACGTTTTGTGAAATCTGAGCTTAATGGAATTTTTTCCTTGACAGCTAAACTTTCTAATGAAAGTTAGTTAACATTTAATTATTCTTCCGCTGTGTATGTGACCCTGTCATTGTGTTAGTCCATGAGAACCTGAAAGTAAATCTAAACTTGTTCATTAAAAACAAAATTGAAATTTGCATGTGGTATGTCCAAGTTTATTAAAATGCAAGAAAGTAAAAAATGGGGAAAAATAACTAGTCTTTTGGTTTTAATCTAATATGTTAGCTATATGTAAGGAGTTAAAAAAAATAAAACCTAAGCTGATCGTGTCACTTTTATTACATATTAATCTCTTGACTAAATTTCTATTTTAAAAAGTACATGACATTGCTTCAGATTGCTTTTTGAAGTGAAAGTGCACAATTTTCTTTTTTGAGAAAAGGTCAAATTCACAATTTTTAACAAAATACATACCTTTCAGGTGGTTGGTTAAAATTTTAGTACGAATAAAGTGCCAATCCTTAGTGGTGCTTGAAACTACAATGAGACCTAATGAAATGTTCTCCCTTTGGGGGTAATATTACTCTTTGGAGAGGTTGGTTTGGGGATGAGAAGCACCATTTTTTGACGTGGTTAATCTAGTCCAGTGTCTCAACCTAGTCTAGTCTCAACCTATTTGACCCACAGTGTGTTATGTTGGCCGCATCCAATACTATCTGTATGGCCCTGAGGATATCACGGGGGCCACAGCTCTGTGCTGATTGGGTCTCAGGTTGAGACCCACAGCTTTAGTCTCAGATATTTTTCTGGGATAATGTTGCTGCTGGTGCTCCCATTACTAGACAGCAGCATATTTGGATCTGTAAGCAGAGGAAAAGGGAATATACTTGATCTCCAGCAGTTACTTTTGGCCATCACTTTGGAGCTGCATGAATGGAGTTTAGAGGATTTCATATCCAGCCCATCTCAGCCAGAAGGAAGGTTATAACACAGGGTCTTTGATGGAGGGGATCATCAAGCACCTTTTCAAACAGCAGTTTGTGGCTGTTTCTTGAGCCCTGTATTGGAAATCTGTGACAGTGTTTAAGCTTGATATCAGAATACCTTGACACTCATTAAACATGTTTTGACTCATCAGAGATGAGTGGTCAGATGGAGAACGTGCAGCTTGTCATGTAAACTCCCTCCTAGGCCTTCTTTTGATGGGAGGAGTATTTAATTATGTTTTAACTTGTTTCCTCCAGTGTGCCTCTAACACAACTTTAATTTAACTAGCAAATTCCACAATTTAGCTCTATTAAGACTGTGTTTTGTAGCCTAAGCTTAAGCACAACTGAGTCCCAATCATGCCAGTGCAGCGATAGGTTATAGCAGTCAATTCTGATTAGTCCTCCACTGCAATCCCAGGCTTTCTCTTTGGTCATCTGCCAAAACTCCTCCACCAGGCTAACCTTACAAGAAGTGGCCTCCCTTTATTTATGTTTACTGTCAGACTCCAATATCTCTGCCTTCATTTCTTTCCTATTGTTTGCTACTGAACTCTGTTGTACAGTGTCAGCAGGTAAGAGGGGATGAGGGTGAAAAGAAATTCCTCATATACCTCACTCATTACAGATCCCACCATAGTAGCTTCTCTGAACCCAAAGTTGTTACCAACTGCTGACATGTAGCTATCTGAGCTAACCAATTCCCTAATTGCAATTGCAGCATGCCTTTCCACACGTATTAGTGACTTCATAATGGAAGGTGGTTGCTCTAGGGTAGGTCCCATCTCCTAGAACTGGAAGGGACCCTGAAAGGTCATCGAGTCCAGCCCCCTGCCTTCACTAGCAGGACCAAGTACTGATTTTGCCCTAGATCCCTAAGTGGCCCCCTCAAGGGTTGAACTCACAACCCTGGGTTTAGCAGGCCAATGCTCAAACCACTGAGCTATCCCTCCCCCAAACTGTCCTGGCATATTTCTTGAAATGTGGTCTTCCTTTTCTGAAATTCTGCAGTCACTGCTGATCACCCCAGGTCTGAAATACAGAGTAGTCCCACCGTTCCATACTGGTTGGTCTGACCTAAAACTCCCTTTCCACAGCTAATGTTTCATTGGCTAAAAAGCTAGACATTCAGTTGTTCAACTGATGCATGGGCTCTAGATCATCTTGTAGAGTGCTCTGGCAGTGGCAGAAACACCATCATCTTCTCACTGCAGCTACTCTGTAAGACTCCTGGTACCAACACACTGTTCGTGAATATAATCAACAGCATCTCCAGCCTGGGAGACATTCCTGGTTACTGAAGCATAAGGGAGAATTTGCTAGGGTATGACAGAGTTAGCAATTGATCCACTGGTTCTATGACAAAACTTCTGCAACCAGAAAAGGAATTCTTGGAATGTGACCTCCACTCCCAGAATGCACATGGGTTTGTACATGGGCAGTGTGCATTCACCCATAATTTATCACCCACGAACGTCACTCTTGCGATATGTCATACCATAAAATTGTTGGAGCTAATGTAATTGAGCCCAGCACCAGTCTGAACATGGGCTTTAAGTGAGTGCACTAAGCATGATTAATAATTGATTGCTTCATTTGAATCAAATAACATGGTTTGTATATTGTTGAGCTTTTTTAGCCAAGGTAGACTACCTTAAGAGGTCAATCAATGGTGATATTCCCTGGGACCAGAACTGAATCTCCATTTAAAATTTCACTTTCACTTAAAAAAATCACTGGCCAATAGTTTGTATGCACAGTGTTAAACTTAGTCTAGTAAATTTAAAAATTGAATTAAGAGTAGTTTCTACTACTACCCCTGCCAATACTTTAGGTTTTCCAGTCTCCCAGTTTCTATTTTTACAATGTTTTTTTCTCTTCCCCAGTTGATGTGAAAAGATTACACAGATTGGGGGACTTGACATTATACAAGATAAGAGTGGCACGTTTTATACCCAGTGTTTTCTAATGCAAAAAGTAAACAAATGATGAATAGGACTGTTTTAGGTGTGACAGTAGTAAGTTTAAAAAAGAAATCAGAAAAGCATGTTACTTTTAAGATAATAGGTGTGTTTTATTTTTGAGAGTATTTGCTCTCTGCTATCCCAGTTCATATATTGACGTGGGAATAAAATTTGTATTAAGCTTTGAAAACAATTTTTGTTTAAGAGGTAGCAACTTTATATTGTTAGGATAACAGGGTGAGATATTCTGAAGTGACTCAGGAGCACAAGTCCCATTAGTTGTTGCTATTGAAAATTCCTCCCATTAAACAAAAATGATAGTTTTTAAAGTAGTCCAGCCTGCTAATAGTTTTGATTTTAAAACAGAGTATTTAGGTTCTCTGTATGCCATAATAAATCCTAGTTACACCAAAGAGTTGTATTGACCAAAAAACCCTGCTAGTATATAAAGATGCAAAACAACTTCTTCAACAAACTGCTTTGTAATATCCCAGTGGCATAGTTCTTCAGACTAAATACGATGTAATAAGATTCTGAATTTGAATATAGTCTGAGATGAGGGTCTGAAAAAAGGTATAAAATGAATTGCTTGAACCATGTAAGGCAAAAGCAACACCAAATGTAAAATTATTGCACCAAAGAACAAGAGCTTATGCAGAAAAGAAACTTAATGTGTTTCAACTTATGCCAACTGTTCTCAATTAATATACTCAGATTAAAAAGTAAACTGTCTATATTCTCAAGTGATAAAGTTAATGAGTTTGAATAAGAACCCCAGGTTTGCAGTTGAATGGACACTGGATTAAATAGGTGACCCATACGTCAGGACTCAAGTGATTTAAATTCACCGGTTAGAACATAAACTACCTATTTATGAATATTTTCAAAATATCCTAAATGAAATCTGACTGCTTAATGTACTGGTAAAATGTTTTATATTGTTACTTTGCATGTTTAATACAGTCTGCAGTTAGAATTATGTTCTTGTATTTTAGTAGTTTAAAGCATGTGGTTTCAGTGCTAATATGATGCACACAGCTCCTCAATCCAATTGAGGTCCTTACACTGAGATCCTGTAGTTAAAACTAGTTATAAGAACAGAGACAGGATGAATTACAATATATGTAGGCTAAGTGTAGTACTTAGTATATAGAATCTTCCCTGCAAAAATAGGGTTAACTATAAGTTACAAGAAAGCGGTTAACTAGGTTAACAATAATTATTTTCACTATTTGAATTAAAAAATGTTAAACTAAATATTTAGATAAGACTGTAAGATGGTTAGAGACTTCGCTTGCCCATCTCAAAATATTACAAAGTGAGAACCCCAGTTTTCCCACATACCTAGCATAAACAGTGGAGCATACATGTGAACACACAAACTCCATTTCCAGCTAATTATAACCAACTTAGTTTCATAGCGTACAGTAGATGTGCATAGGTCTTTAAATATGTGGGAAAACAAGGGGCCTGCCTCAAGGACCTAATAATTCATAGACCTGTGAATCTATAATCTAAATTGGATACATCCCAGTTATTAAAATTCTGATGTGAGGGGTAACAGACAGTACTAGAGAGGAGATTGGGATTGGAAGGCCAGCTGAAAGAAGTGAGGTTTGTTTGGGAAGAGGAAAAGGAGATTGCTTGCCATATGGGAGATTGTTCCAAGCACAGGAGGCACTGTGGGGAAAAAGGCATGAAATTGTAAGTGGGAAAGAACAAAGGGAATATTAAAGAATGGAATTTGTTTGGTTCAAGGGTGAAGTGTAGAAAGAGGGGTAGAGTTGTGACGTTATATTGTGAGGATTTGGAGCTTAAACCGGATATGTGAAGGGGATGCCTGTTAGGGGATTTTAAAGAAATAGCATGAGGGAGGGGAATGACTGTTATTACTTCCAGTCAAGACTGTTTAGTTCAGAACTTTTAAGACTGCAGTTAACTTAAGGGATGGGGGAAACAGACCTGCCATTCTTGTTTTCTCTGTTTGTTTATGAGCTTTTTTTTTTCTGGCATCAGTGGATGTTATCTGAATTCACCATGTTCACATTCTTTCTGCATGTAAATGATAAACCTTAAGCGAGGTTTTAGTTTCACTGCTTTTAATGAGCGCCATCTGGCTGGCCCAACAGGTTCCTGGGTGGAGTTACAGATGAACGGCAATGGCAATAGCAATGATAATGCCAGTGGGAAAAATGGGGGCCTGGAACATGTCCCTTCGTCATCCTCTATCCACAATGGAGACATGGAAAAAATCCTTCTGGATGCCCAGCACGAATCAGGACAGAGTAGTTCAAGGGGTAGTTCGCACTGTGACAGGTAAGGAAGCACAGCGGTATCAAGTCTCTTGAACCACTTACTTTTCCCATATGTTATGTGATGCAATTTCCATTCTTGATCCTTTATCAAGGGCAAATGACATTTTATCAGCTGTATATGTCTTCATCCATGAGCCAGCCAACGTGCCATTTGGAATACTTGCTGAATCCTGCTAGCTTTAAATAGTATAAACTTGGTTTGTTTGAAAAGCAAGTCGTTGTTAAACTTAAAAAATAAATAAATGCAGGAGTAGAACAAATTGCATCAATATCAGTGTGAAATCTCATATTAGCATTGTTCATGTACTGTGTAAAAAAATAATTAACAATGTTATTACTGATGCATGATCATTTAAGAGAAGGTAAGAACAAGGGATCCTATGACTGAAGATAGTATTCACTATGATGAAAACGTAATAAATTGGCTTTATCAATTTTTCAAAGTAACTTACTCAGTTACAGCTGTGTACTATGTGTCCAGGCAAGAATAAATGCAAGACAGCGATAGAATGGACAGATTCATAATTCCCACCTCTCTTTCTCCAACAGAGGAAGTAATTGGGAGGAAAAAAGTGTCTTCACTCGAAAAAGCCCTCTACTTTTTGCCCTTAAAGGCCAAATGTATTTATTTATATCAAGTAAAATAATCTTGCTTATCATGTCAAAACAAGTGATACCCTTAAGGTTTCACTGTAGTTCTCCCTCAGAATTGTTGGAGAGTTAAGATGATGTTGGAGCTGTCTTGGGAGTCTCTTTTTCTTTTTCTTATATTGCTGGACAAATGCTCTCTTCTTGCCATGTCACGTATGTAATATTTATATCAAGCTAGATCAGATGTACAACCTACAATGAGTCTGGATAGAACTTGAAATTAACTCAGTGATAATTTCAAATAAAATTACCAAGTGCAATGGACAAGAAGAGTAAAAAGATTTTTTTTTAAAAGCTACTACCTCAGAAAAAAGCAGTTGGCTATACCTTTATTTCTAAGAAATTGTAAGCTGCCAGTAACTAGCATAGTATGTTGTCACTTTCTAGTTCAACTAGAAACATTTGCTGGGTAGTGTCTGTAATGCTCATTTTGATTCTTATCAAGGTAAGGACTTTCTCTCCACCCACATCTTTAATTGCCCCAGTATTTTTAATTTAAATACTGTCAGATAAAAATGTCATATGAAGACAAATCCCTTTTTCTTTTTTCTCAATAGAAAATGCTTGGAAAACCAAAGTTCCAATTTTGTAGTGAGCACCCTAACTGTCAGGGTGGTTAAACACTGGAATAAATTGCCTAGGGAGGTTGTGGAATCTCCATCTCTTGAGATATTTAAGAGTAGGTTAGATAAATGTCTATCAGGGATGGTCTAGATGGTATTTGGTCCTGCCATGCGGGCAGGGGACTGGACTCGATGACCTCTCGAGGTCCCTTCCAGTCCTAGAATCTATGAATCTATGAATATCAGCTCATGATTATGGACAATAGTTGGATATTTATAGAAACCTGAGGTCTAAAACATTTGTAGAAAGGAGTGATAACGGCTGTAAACCATCTATTGAATAGTTTAAAAGAGGTCCTGTTCCCAGTGGAACTTTTTTCATTCACTATCCATCTTTTTAATGAGAGCTAAAATCAGATTAAAGAGGGGTGTCTAGAATTTTGATGCAATGAAATGACATCTCTACATTGCATTGTACTTTTACTCAGTCCCTGATTTTAAATTCTCTAGCGTTTTTTCTCATCTGGCTGTGAATGTTACTAAAGCAGGGGTGGGCAAACTGTGGCCTGCCAGCTGTTTTAATCAGGCCCTTGAGCTCCTGCTGGGGAGTGGGGTCTCGGGCTTGCCCCGCTCCAGCCAGGCAGTAGGGTTGGGGCCGCTCCACTTTGCTCCCAGAAGCAACGGCATGACCCCCCCTCCAGCTCTTATGCAGAGGGGCAGCTAGGGGGCTCCGCTCTGCATGCTGCCCCCACCCCAAGTGCCGCCCCCGCGGCTCCCATTGGCTGGGAACCGTGGCCAATGGGAGCTGCAGGGACGGTGCCTGCGGACAGGGTAGCGTGCAGAGCTGCCTGGCTACGCCTCCACATAAGAGCCAGAGAAGAGACATGTCGCTGCTTCCGGGAGCACTTGAGGTGAGCGCTTGAAGTAAGTGCCGCCTGGAGCCTGCACTTCTGAGCCTCCCCCCGCATTCCAACCCCCTGCCCCAGCCCTGATTCCCGTCCCGCCCTCCAAACCCCTCGATCCCAGTCTGAAGCACCCTCCTGCATCCCAAACCTCTCAACTCCAGCCCCACCCCAGAGCCCGCCCCCCCAGCCGGAGCCCTCCCCTCCTCCCCCCCCCCCGTGCCCCCAGCCCCTGATCCCCCTTCCTTCCTCCAAACCCCTCGGTCTCAGCTCGGAGCTCCCTCCTGCACCCCAAACCCTCATCCCCAGCCCAGAGCCTGCACCCCCAGCTGGAGCCTACACCCTTTCCTGCACCCCAGCACTCCTGCCCCAGCCCTGATACTCCTCCCGCATCCTATGCCCCCAGCTCGGAGCCCCCTCCTGCACCCTGAACTCCTCATTTCTGGCCCCACCCTGAACCCTCACACCCCTTCCGCACCCCAACCCCAATTTTGAGAGTATTCATGGCCAGCCATACAATTTCTATTCCCAGATGTGGCCCTCGACCAAAAAGTTTGCCCACCCCCGTACTAAAGAATTTTTCTTTAGTAGAGTATAGTCAGGTTTTAATATTGAAAATTAAAGTATTTATTCCTTTGGGTTAATTTGCTAAAAAGATATTTTGGTGTGTAACATGTAATGCCTGCTGGAGGAATTCCTTAGTGTACAGTGGAACAACACTAAGGAATTCCTCCCACAAATACAGTCCTTTAAGCAACCACTTTTAAAATACTTACAAAGTTTCAGGTACAGTTTTATTCAAAATCCATTTAGGGATCCACCTTCTAGGTAACCTGATTTTGCTAGTGACTGCTTAAGGTTAGTTTTACTGTATATCAGGAAGATGGCAGTGATGTAGCAACAATAGCAATGTATTGCCTCACAGGGGATGAGAGTTCAGGACTCCATCTTGATCTTTTGCTCCTGGGCTGGAGTTACAGTGGAGTCACTGTGCTGATTCTTGATGGTAGAGGAGGTCCTTCCCATCTCTTTATGATTAACTGAAGGGTAGTTGGGGGTGGGGAGGGTATTAAAACAGGAACAAACTGGGAATATGGGAAATCTTTGGGACTTGGAGGATTTTTCCTTGGGGGGCATAATGATAAAGAATCCTTGTTTCTCATCTGAATTGTCTGCATACCTTATATGTAGTAATAATGGAACTATGGTGCAATTAAACTGATGTTTCAGTAATTTAATAACCCAAAAGTGACAGTAATGCCATCATTCTTTCCTTTAGCCCTTCCCCTCAAGAAGATGGACAGATAATGTTTGATGTGGAAATGCACACGAGTAAGGACAATAGTTCTCAGGTATTTTCTCCAGTAAACTCTAAAGTACACAACACATTGTCTAGGAGAACAGTGTTTAAGACACAATATTGTCTTTTGTAAATAACAAATAATTAGTGAAGCATGCTAGAGGGCTGAAGCCAGATATTTAAAATTATAAATTCTGTATATAAATATACAGCTTTAAACTGTTAATTTCCAGCAATTCATTATTAATATAGTATGGAAACAGCTGAGTGTATAGTACCTATACTGAATTAAAGGCCAAGAATATTAAACTCCAGTTTTTGAAAGCCTGTTTATTCAAAATCTGGAAATGTCCTTTAGCCTTTTGGAATAACCGTGTTTACTTATATTATACCATGTTCTTTGTATCTTTTAAAATTAAGGCAACAGTTTGACTTGAACTCTGTGAACAAAATTATCCATTCTTGCTTACTTCCGTGTAAATAAGCTTTAATGATTCATTGAGTCTTTGTATAGTTAAGGTTATGATGGTAACTATATTATAAACTTGTACTTTAGGCGATTATAATAAAAATTCTCTAAGTTATGTCTATTAAAAACTTTGCTCTGGGAGGTGGTGTTATAAAAAAAAATTGTTTTTATATTTTACTAAGCAGAGAGAGAGAGTTATTTATATGTTTAAATTCCAGTAGTGGAGAGGAAAAAAAAAGTCTAGTTTGAAACACATGCTTTGGATTTATACAACTTGGACTTTATAAAAATTGAATTTTTATATCTTCGAGTGGGAGAGAATATCCGGCACCAATCCTGAACTTGAAATAATGTTATTGAGTATATATAATAGCAAGTTATCAGAGATATTGTCAGGATTTCTTTTACACATCTAGTTATGTAGGTATGTGATAGAACTATTTGTTTTACAAATATTTAAATTGCTACCTAAGAATTCAGGATAATCATTCCATGGTTAGTGAGCTCACATAATTCTTAGTCATCTCAACACGAAATGAATCTAATGCTGAACTCTTAGTTTGGTCATTTTATGAAATTTGCTGTCTTCAGCAGTACAAGTTGAGAGCAACAGTGGAAAAATGAACTGTGCATTTAATTTTTGTCAGAGAGGATGGCCAAACAATAGGATCGTTACCTTTCTGTAGCCCTATAGAGAACCGTACCACTCTGAGTGAGGTCGTTTGCTTTTTGTTTTGTCATTCAGAGTTTCCATCTCCCTATTACAATTCAGCATGGCTCCCTTTTTCTATTGTTTTGGTGCCTCTTTGAACTAAGCTGTACTCCAAGTGTTATAATGTAACCTTGCTAAAGGCTGAATTTGGTCTCAGGCTCCCATTGAATTCAGCAGGGAGAGGACAGCTTGGGAATGCCAATACATACAGCTCTAGGCTTGGCAGTTCATAGCCACGGCACCTCTGGGCTTGCTGCGTCAGTTATGAAAGCAAAACAGTTTCTTGAGCCCCGGCACCTCTTCCATTACAAATTAGACCCTGTATATGGTAATCCTTTCATGAGAAGGAGGCATTAATCTTGGGGGCAGGGTCATTTACCATATGCTTGTACAGTTCCTACCATAGTTGGGCCCAGACCTAGCTGAGGTCTACTGCAATATACATGTTCAATAACAGTAGTAAAATAACAAACAAAAGATATTTGTTGTGATGTTGACAGCGGGCAAACTTCTGAAAGAAATGATTTAAAATACTTTTGTACAATTTGAGCAGAAGTACTGCCCTTTTCATTTGATTACATCTGATTTAAGAATCGCTAAAGTTTTAGGGAACTGTTTTTACTTAAAACATTTTATGTGACACCGTCTTACTCAGGCTATTGTTAAAATCATCCCCTCAATTGTTCTTCACTCTAATTTGTAATATATATATTTAACTATCATTACAATGAAGCTTGCTTAAGTCCGTGATAAAATAATACATTTATCAGAGACGCACTGATATCAGTGAACCTTGTGGGCGTAGTAAAATCCCTTCCAAATAAACCCTTGATGTAAGAATGTCTTTTCAGTCATCATCACCTTTCCCTTCCCAACCCCAACATATGTAGAAACAGCCCAATGGAATGAAAACTGCCAACATCTGCTACTTATCATTTTGTCACTGCAGTTGATGCTCTTAAAATTAATACTACGAGGAATAGCTGAGTAAGTGTTGTTACAGGGCATGTCCCATGTATATTTTCAGTCTGAAGAGGAAGCAGTAGAAGGAGAGAAAGAAGTGGAAATTTTGAAGAAAAGTGCTGACTGGGTTTCAGACTGGTCGAGTAGGCCTGAAAACATTCCTCCCAAGTGAGTTGAACTCTTTACTAATAAACACTCCTTCTGTAAGAAGGAAAGAAGAATCATGCTGCACACATATATGGAATTATTCTGGCTATCAAAATGGGATCATCACCGGAAAAATATTTTGAAGACTTGGGTTTTTCTTGGAGGATAGATAGCATAAAACCAATAAAAACTGCAAAAAACGTAATAGCATAACAGAGATTCTTTTACTGAAAGCAACCCAACAATAAGCTTAATATGAAGTTACTTTTTCCAGTAACACCAATGTCTTTACTTGTTAAAGCAGGGTACCTGGAGCTTGCAGTGGTGGGGTTTAGTAACAGCTCACTGACTGGTCTGGTATTGGGCAAGTCACGTAAACTCTCTGCTTCTTGGTTTCTGCATTTGTAAAATAAATATAATGCTTACTGACGCCATTGGGACACTAGACACTATCAGGCTTTGAAACCCTTGAATAGAAAGCACTAGATGAGTGCAAAGTGTTTGTTAAACTGGAGGATGCTATCCATGTCTGGGAGATTTCTGTGTCCCTGCTTGAAACAAAAATGTGGCTATTACTAACAAGTCATGTACTGAAATTTCCTCTCCCAGACCTGCTTGTCTCTCCAGCTTGTGCTCCCATTGTCTCTGTACTTGAGTAAGTGGTCTTTCCACACTACCTCACATTTTTCTTGGGTCCCCCTGCAATCTGGCTTTTGCCCTATCTATTCCACCTTCGAAAAAAAATCTGTGCAGTTCTGCAATATTCCTGTCTATTTTTTCCCTTCAGGGAATTTCACTTCAGACATCCTAAACGTGCAGTATCTTTAAGTATGAGAAAGAGTGGAGCTATGAAGAAAGGTGGCATTTTCTCTGCGGAGTTTCTTAAGGTTTTCATTCCATCTTTGTTTATATCTCATGTTTTGGCTTTGGGACTAGGGTAAGTACAAAGACTAATTTTAAACTTTGCATCTTTATTGCTTGTATACTTACTGTAGTACTATGGGAGTTACCAATCTGAGGAAGAGCATAATAAGAATGACCAGATTATTTTGACCTTGTGCTGATAGGTCAAGTATTCTTGAGATATAGGGAAAACTACCTTTGCAGTGACGCAAATCTATTTACTTGATTGTAGGGAAAGTTTGAGATTGAATGGTCATACATTCAGAATGCACAGATTATCATGAAATCAGTGACCTTAGTTGACTCTGAGACCCTACTGCAAATAACCTTTGCAGTGTCCTGTGGCATGACCCACTTGTTCATTTGCTCATTCTATTCAAATTCCTTAGAGTATAGTGTAATAAAAGAAAAATAAGACCCTAAACATAAATATTATAGTGATTTTTTCCTCTTTTGCTCCAAGAAAAGTCTGTGTAACGTCATTAGATGATGCTCCAGACCCATGTGTAAGCTCCCACTAATTCTGAGAGGCTGGCACTACTGCAGTTGCATGATGGCACTGAAACTAAGGGTTTGAAACTTGAAACAGAAATATACACAACATTGTTTACCTATCTTGCAAAATTAGCTATTGAATTTTCAAATAGCCCAGCAGTGCTGTTAGCATTTCTGTAATTAGAAGTGATCACTGAGTGTGCTGAAGGTCTTTCATTTGCAAATATGTATCTCATGCCCTCTTGTGGTGGGGCCAGAGAAATGTATTTGTAAAATACCATATTTCAGTTTTTATTTAACTTCTAATTCAATTATTTCTTGCACAAAGTTTGTCTTTCACTCTGATTTTAACATATTCTTGTAAATGATTTTTTTCCTTAGTCCTAGTTATTGGCTAAACTATCTGGATAGAAAATGTGAAAAAATATTTGTCTGGTAGCAAAAATGTATACTTCTGAAATAAATTAGGTATGTTGCCTAGGTTTATTTGTTAGAGATCTGCCTTTTTGTAAGCTCATAACACTCAATGTTTTAAAGCCTATGTTAATATTTATTTTTTAAGTGTAGTATAAAGAATTTTGTATACATATTATTTTAGCTGGGATTTTCAAAGGAGCCTTAGGGAGCTAGACAGCCACCTCCTATTGAATTTCAACGGGAGATGAGTACCTATATCCCTTGGGCTCTATTGGAAATCTCAGCCCTTATAGTTAGGTGTTTAGATGCAGTCACTTGAAGAGAAGGGGGTGTTATGGAAGAACATCACAAAATGGAAACTATTGACAAGGGTAAACTAGAACAATTGAGTGAGCAAGGACTGTTGTGAAGGGAACTATTTCCATGAAATACGTTTTATGTTTTTATTTCAGCATCTACATTGGAAAACGACTGACCACACCTTCAGCCAGCACTTATTGAGAGAAGCAGATGGCAAAACTTGGAAATCCACGTGACCTGTGAAGATGTTATTGTCACATTAGTACATTTGAACTTGAGACCATTTTAAGCATGACCCCAGCCCCGCCCTTTCTTTACATATCCAGGTTCCAGTAACTCTTGGAATTCAGTATTGTATTGGAACTCTGTTGAGGTGTTTGACTACCCACCTTCTCTCCCCCCACCCTTTTGGCCTGCAAAACACGTCAGTTGCCTAACAGACTTTACAATTGTCTATACATTGCAAGGGCTTCTTTCAGTACAAAATTCCACCAGCAAATTATTATTTTATCAGTGATGCTGTTGCCTCCTCTAGTACAACCTGACTTAAATCTGCAAATGCTCATGGAATAAATGTTGACTGTATTCTAACAATTGCCAATCTCTTTAAAAGAAACTGAAGGTTGGTTACAGTAAAAGTGAGTCTTTGTTTTTAGAAAACTGTTGGCTGTAAATCAAACTAAAAAATCATTGGCAATAAAGAATAAATAAATTTTAAAACCAGCTTTTTGGGTAATTTACTAACACCCTATTTTGGCCATGACTTTTAGTTTGCAGAAGGCAAAGACTGCACAAAACATAAAGCATGATAATAACTTAGTCATCAGCATATGTTAATACTAGATAATTGTCATAATCTTGTCTTTTCTATGAAGTAGGCACCTTGTTTCTGATAGGAAAATCTAACGCCTAGAAAATGTTAGAGGAATTGCGTTGTTTGCATGTGAAGAAGCTTTTATTTTCCTTTAGCTTTTTCCTTACTGGAAAATTGTAAGTGTAAAGTTTTCCTTTATAAAAGCAGTTTGAATGCAAATATTTTTGGTGTATTTAGACGAGGGGTTTCCAAACTTGGTTCGTGGCTTGTTCGGGGTAAGCCCCTGGCGGGCCGCGAGACGCTTTGTTTACCTGAGCTTACTGGGAGCTGCAAACGGCCATACCTGCGGACGCTCAGGTAAACAAAGCGTCTCCCACCCCGCAAGAAGCTTACCCTGAACACGCCACGAACCAAGTTTGGAAACCCCTGATTTAGACACTCTGTAAAAAGGGGAGTCTCCTGAAACCACCTACAATGATAAAGATATGGTGGTTTCAGTAGGTACTCAAAGCATTTGATCTGCTGTTGGGAACAGTCTTGCAGTTGTGTAAAGAAGCACAAGTGGTAAATATCTGAAATGATGTCTCCTTTAGTGAAGTTTTCAATATTCCCATTTCTCATTGTTTACTGTACAGTCTCCCTTGGGGATAATGTAGATCCTAAGGTCACTAGTGACGTCTCATGTAGCTAGGTAGAATTCTCACTAATGTTGAACTTTTATCTTTGGGAACACTCAGTCTTGTCCTCCTTCAGTGACACTTTTTTCAAAATGTGAAGCTTTAGTACCAAATTGTTACAAAGCATCAGGACATAGCCTTGTCCTTAAGTAGATTTTATTGGATTTCAAAACATGTAGCATGACTCTGAAGGATAGAATACTCTGTTTTATATATATATATATATAAATAATATGATATAGACTTTAATACTAAATATTTAGGGAACCAATGTTAATTTTAAAACTAGCAAAATCTCATTTAAATAGAAAATGCATTAGGCTGACTTGTAGAAAATGTTAAGAAAATCTGGTCAGCAAGTTTGGAAGAGAAAACTACCTTAAATTTTCTGCTTGCATCAGATAAAGTTGATGATTTGGTATATCAGCGATAGTTCAATACAGTTCAAGCATGGAGGCTAATTCCTAGTTGAGGTTTGCTTTAAAAAAGGCACCTCAGGAAGCAAAGAGGCTAAGTATGAAATCCATTTCTAAAATGTGTTCATTTTATTCTCCACTTCTCACAGCCGTTAGGAGAAGGTTAGTAGGTTTTAAGACAAGTCCAGTGTGAAAGGGTAGTTGAAGCATTGTGTTTAGACATCTGTTTTTTTTTTTAATCTCAAATATTAGTAGCTCTTGAATTATCTACAACTGCCTATTTATTTCAAGTGTGGATATTGGGTTTCATCCAGGAAGAAAAAAATGGCAAGAGTGTTTTTAGGCAGTATGAACCGCCTTATTTTAGAGACCTAAATAAAATGGGAAGGGAGAAAGGCTGGTATACTTTATTAGTACTAATTATAGCACCTTCTTTTGTATGAAAATTGGAATAGTGGAAAAATAGATTTATATTAAGTAGGGAATATCTTTGTTTTAAAAAAACAGCATTCATATTAATTTGATTAATCTGCAGAATACTTGATAAATTAATATGTTACAAGCTTGTGACTAGAGGATAAACACAGCTATGTGCTAATATTTCAAGCAGCTGTGAGATTAAAAAAATTTCATGGAAAATATTACTGAAAAATGGATACCTGATCACTGTAGCACTTGTTATCATACAATGATACAATGCAGTATTTATTGATACCCTAATATAAGCTCGGGATGGAAGTCTACAATTTTTAGTTTTACAAGGAACCGAAACAGATCGTTGTATAATCTGAAAAGGGGTTTCAGCTATTGATAGTTGAAGTTTTGTTAAGATAAATATTGTTTGAAAGCTTTATACCTGTTTACAGTTTTGAAAAAAAATGCAGGCTTCATTTTTCTTATGTTCAGTGAAAACTGGCTTAAAATATTTGTAAATAGGATCAAGCAAAAATACATAAACTCGCACATTAAAAAAATGTGACAGGCTAACTTAACTGTAGCAAGTACATATTTACTTACTCTGTTTTGAAAAGTGAAAACTGAAGACTCTGTTAGAAATTCAGATTTTTTAATTAACCCACTTGTTGAAATTATTGAAGTTAACTGAGCCAAAGTGATTATGCATCCTCCATATATTTAGTTAGCACTTTGTAACATTATATACAGTTTACAGTACATGTATAAGTTGTAGCTATAAACATTTTGTGCCATTAAAGCTCTCACAAAACTGTGTGTCTGTTAGATCACTTTGTACCAAATCCACCCCCAAGGAAGACGTTGGATAACTTTATGCTGCTGCTTGTTTATGAAGTAATAACTGTATCCTGAGTTAAATGAACCAAGAGGTTGACTTTATTAGAGTGGGATCATCAAGTTCTTGTGCTGAAAAGTAATTAAAATATTGCCTTCGTCAACCATGTTCACTACTGCCATCCTCTCCCAGCACCTTGATCTCCTTATAGATCAGGAAGACTCGTACCAAAAATAAGAACCATGTATTGTTCTTTAAGATCCATTGTCTCCCGGGCCAGTTATAATTCTAAGACTCCTTCCAATTCAGTTACAAATGCGATTTGAAGAGTTGAGGCCGTTCCTTGTTCTAAGTCGATAGAGCTATGACAGTTTACACCAGCTGGGCATCTGCCCTCACAGTATTGGCACAAGATTATTACTTACCTTAAGGATTGGAGAGGGCTAAAAAGGGTGTGGAGTTTACCTATGTAAATTTTAAAACTAGCAGTTTTTGTGGCCCATTTTATTTCCTTCATGATTTTTTTTCTTGTTTAATGTAAAATTAAAAAAAAAGTGTAAGAAATTAATAAAATTTTCAAAAGCACCTAAATTACTTAGAAGCCCAAAAGACTCATTTTCAAAAGTATTTCTGAACTTAGAGTTTGACTTTCAATTCCACTTACCGGTAAGTTCCAAAGTGCCCAAGTCCCTTTTGAAAATGGGGCTTGGGCTTCTGAGTTATTTAGGCACTTTTGAAAACCATATGCAACATCTTGAAAATTCTTCTTTGAGTAGCTTATCAGAGCAGAGGGATTATAAGTAGCCAGTTAAGGTACAGTTACATATTTACTATGCCATTATTGAGAAAAATAAACAGTGTTTATCTATCTCAGATCCTCTTCGCCAGTCATAGTGCAGGGTTCGCATAAGTAAGAAAATGTAATAACATTTTATAGACCAGGAATGCTCTTGCTCTAACAATGTTGTGCTTTAAATGGCAATCATAACTGAGTTGCAGAGGGCTATTAGTCTCCCAGTTCAGCTGGGCTAATAAGACTCTTTCCAATTCAGTGGTGTTCTTACTCTCTCTACAAGAGCTGTTCGGTTCATGTAAAAGGGTTGGTGTGTGTTAATGAGGCTGACTGCAGAAAAGTTTTAATCAGACATTTCATTAGAACAGCACGATGATTCTGTTTGTATATAGCTATATGCATACAGTGCACACACTTTGTGTCATGTCAAGATTGGAAAAGAAAACACAAAAATAAGCTAAATCTTGAGTAAATTTCCCTTCTACGAAAGTTCCAAGTGGATTGAAATTGCCAGTAAAATTCTTTATTTATAGAATTGTCCCATAACTGTATTCCTATGCGGTGCAACAAAGTTGGCTTATTTTAATGACAGGAGGGAGTATATACCAGCTAAAGTATTCCAATGGTGCCTCTGATTTTATTTGATAAATTTGTTTTACTTGACAGGTTATGAACTGTGGATTTCTTTGCTGATGGAGGTTGTTTTAAATTCTCTTTCAATCTGAACAAGCAACTGGTTTGGGCAATTTCCTTAGGGATACAGAGCCTACCATCATGTCTGGTATTTTGGTTTATTTTAAACTATATGGGTAAGCCTAAAAACAAAAACGAAGCTACCATTACATTTAGAATATGTTTGAGAGGTAAAATCCTCCAATTTGAAGTTCAAACACTTTATATCTACATGATGAAATCTTTGCCCTATTGAAGTCAATGGGAGTTTTGCCTTCAATGCGGCCAGTATTTCACCCAAAGTATATTAAGCGGTGAATGATTTCAGAGGAACTACTCATGTACTTAGTACATTGTTTGCTTAAGTCCCTTGCTGAATTGGGGCCTTGAAGAGAATATAAAATCACAGTTTTGATTTACTTGCTCTGGTATTATGCTGCATGGTTCATGGTTCTTGCCACCACAACACATGCATATATAGATGTGAGATTTAAAAGTGACCCTATACCCCTAAGATGCACTTGAAAAATCACATCTTGGGTATATACAGCAGCCGTCCATAAGAAAAAGACAAAAGCTAAATTTACTTCCTGTTGATTAAATAAGTCTCTATGTCCTGTACTGCACATTGACTTGGCCAACAGCAGCTGACTCAGCCAACCTCTCCTTGCAGCACTAAGGTGTGATTACTCTTGATGTTCAGGAGGGAGGGAGGGAGATTCTCCATTAAGCAAAGTAAATGTAGCTGTTAACTCTGAAGTGCAATCAGAAGAGTGAGCAGTGTGGAAATTTGCATATTCCATTTTAAACAACACTTTTTTATATCCAGTAGCATGAGCAAAAAAGTTTCTGCGGATTATGGGATTTCTGGTGACAAATCTCAAATTGCAATGCAGATCAATTTTGCATGCACCTGCTATAAAACAAGTAGTTTAATAGATTAAGGCCAGAAGGAGCCATTACAATAATCTCTGACCTCTTGCATAACACAGACCATAGAATTTCAACAAGTAATTTCTTCAAATCCATAACTTCTGGTTAAGATAGAGCATATATTTAGAAAGACACCTAGTCTTGACATGAAGACTTTAGCTGATGGAGAATCCATCACGGCCGTAGATAAATTGTTCCAATGCTAGTTTACCCCCCACTGCTAAAAAAATGTACTTTTATTTTGAGTGTAGCTTTTGTCAGACTTCTGCTTCCAGCCACTGAATCTTGTTACATTTTTGTCTGCTAGATTGAAGAGTCCTCTACTATAGGAATATTTTTTCCATGCGGTACTGCTAGACTGTGACCCAATAAACGATATAGATCTTTAGTATAAAACAAGTATTTCAAATGATACTGCTTTTGAGGGAAGGTCAGACGGCCAGCTACATGGCAGGACTTCATGTTATCGATCTACTCATAATACAACAAATCGGTACCCAGGATGATATCTTGTTCCAGTTAAACAAAATCTGAGTTGGGACATTTGTAAGATATGAAGGCCGCAAGAATATTTGTTAATTGCTCTGAATAAGACAGAGTTTTGGTTACAAACGTTTAATGCCAGGAGAGCAACTGTTGATTCCTATGCCCATTGCCTCTACCCACTCTCTGCTCCCACAGCCGAATCACTGGGATGGAATTTTCAAAGGAGCCCAAGTGATTTGGATGCCCAACTCCCACTGAATTTCTATGGGAGTTTGGCACTTGACTCTCCTGCACTCCTTTGAAAATCTCTGATGAAGAATATTTCCTTCCTTCCCTCCTTTTTGTGAGAATTTGTAGAGAAATAGCAGTTACAAATTTCTAGTAGTTCTTCAAGTCTTGAATGTTTGTGCTTCCTCCTCTGCTGCTTGGAAAACAAAATAATGTTTCCTATCATTTTTTTTATAAGTGGTTAAGTTATACCAAAGCTGGATTATATAAGACCTAAAAAGGAAGTTTGGCTGGCCAAGCACTAAATACTACAATTGCCATCCTTCCCTCCTGGGTTTTGACCTGCTCCCATTAAAGTCAATGAGGTCCATCAGCAGCTGGTATAAACTTCCATAAATCCATTGAAATGAATAACACTACGCTGAAATCCAACAGCTGAGTATCTGGCCTAACGAATGCAGGATCATACCTCTGATTCTTTCTCTCTCATTTATTAAGTCTTGTTGCTGGCTTCCGCTCCCTTCATCCAGTTCAAAGCACTCCTCCTCTCCTTGAATGCTCTGCTAAGCACTTCTGTCCCTGCCTATATAACTGCCCTCATCGCTCCTGCATGCACTTGAGTTCCCTATGCACTGCCCAGTCATCTCTCCTGACTGCTCCCTTTGTTTCCTTCACCTGCTCCTGTCTTTGTGCAGCCTCTCATGCTTGGAACAGCCTCTTAATGAATGTCTGGCAAGCACCGTCCTCCAGAAGATCCACCAATTCCATGTAGTGAGACCACTGTTCTGTATTATATTGCCCTTTACAGTACACACTCATTCCTTGAGGACAGCTCTTTCTATGGCTTCTGTGAACCTTTGTACAGAGCCATGAACTCTTGTGGTGCCACCTGTATAATTTGTACCTGATCCATTTTATTGGATTAAGCAAAGCCCATAACAGGTGTGTTTAAGAGGCATCATCAAATTTCCAAGTCGCAGGAAGCAGCAGAGCAGAAGGGGGCAGGTCTGTAGGGAGGACAGTGGTTCAGACTTTATAAATCAGTTAAACCAAGATTAGATTCTGGCCATCCTGCTTAATCCACCTCAACTTCCCTCCCTGGGGCATGTAGAAGAGATTTCTGAGCTCACATTTCCTGTAAGGGTGTGTTGGATGAAAAAGCCACAACTCCATTTTAATGTACAATTAAAAACAGAGCTGACAAAAACATGGAGCATCAGTTTTTCCCCATTAGCTGGTTTCTGGGGATGGGATGGAGAAGAAATATAGGTGGTGGAAAGGATAGTTTGGGGGACTGGTGGTAAGGATAAAGCATCCTTTTACATGCAAGTCTCTGGTTCCATAGGCACAGACAGAAAGGCATCATTGTCTGATGGCTGTTGGGTGGATTTCATAGTGCGCAGAGGTCCACGATATTAACCCCCCTGCTATAATTTGCATCCATAGTCAAAAGTCTTGGCAAAAAGGCAGAAGACTGACTGGAGCGTGGAGAACTTTCCTTTCATCCTGGCAAGGTGGTCCCTCCAGCACAGTGTTGAGGACACGTTGCTATGTGGAAGAAGCTGGTAAGGCTACTTCCCATGCTGCATCTCTTCTGGGGGAAAACAAAAAACATCATTCTCCGGGGTTATCAAGCCAGCACCATTCCAGAGTATTTAATTTAGAATCAGTAAATACTATTTAGGGCAAAATCTGCAGCTGATGGGAATTTTGCCATTGATTTAGACAGGCGCAACCTGGCCTTTACTGGGCTTTCCTTTTTGGGCCTGTGATTTATGTTCTAAATGCCTGATTTGCAAGTGGAGTCATATTAAGATACTACTGTGGTGAGTGTGATGTAAAAATTGGTATCTATCTATCTATC